GCTGTGCCAGGAATTTTTGTCATGGTTCATCAATAGTACTTATAAATTGATATCTTTCCTATGCATCCACCATACTAAACCTTGTAAATGTCTTACAGTGTTTGTCTTTTGGTCAGCAACTAGAAGGAGCAGAGCAAGAAAAAGGAGGGGCAAAGAATTCATTTTCTTTGTGTTCAGGTAACTCACAGCACCTAGAAGGTGCTCTCCTGGTCCATTTGTGTTGATCTTGGCCACAGTCACAGGGTTCCTGGCCAACTGGTGAAGAATAAAAAGCTTAAGATAAGCTTTAAAACAGCAACTTGAAAGTTGGAAAAGGGGCATTAATTACCTACTATGTCATTTCCCCTAGAAGCAATGCTTAGTGAGCTTTCAGGTGTGGGTACCTATTGGAGGTCTGATTACAAACTAATGTAGCTACTTTTGTGTGTGTGCACGTGCATGTCTGTGTTTAACTTTCACATCCAAAAGTGTGATGTTTCCTTTAGAGAAAAACCTTTAGGGCACACTCATCTGTTTCACTTTGGAATTGATTACCAAGTTTGTGGCAGGTTGTTCCGCAAGTTCTCGGTGGGGCAAGACGTCACCCTTTGAGGACAGAGTTTCTCTTTACACACAGCAGCCAAACATTCAGCTACAGATCTTTATATAACTTGAATAATCAGGCACGGTAAAACATGGTGAGTCAAAAGTAAAGCCTAGATAAAACAAATGACCCTACTAAAAACACAGAGAGGATCTAACTATACTTTGTTTTTTAAAGAAGATACATAAAGGACCAGGAGAAAAACAACTCATACATGAAAAGGTGGTCAACATTAGTCATCAGGAAGATGCAAATCAAAGCCACAAAGATACAGACATTCCTTCACACATACTAGAATGCCTGCATGACAGACGCTAGTCTGTGCTGGGGAGAATGTAGAGAAGTCGAAATTCTCATATTCCGCTGGTGGGGATGCAAGATGGTGAAGTGACTTTGGCTTTGGTTAAACACTGAGCTCCCATGTGAGCCAACAATTCCACTCCTACATGAAAATAGCTGCTAATGCAAAAATTTGCACATAGATGTTCAAAGAAGTATTAGTAATAATAGCCATAATTCAGAAAGTATCCAAAGTTCTATCAACTGATAGAGAAATAAAATATGGGATATTCATACAATGGAGTATTATTTAGGCATAAAAAGTTAAACACAGACACCAGCTTACACCATGAGTGAACATTATCTAAGTGACAGCAGCCAGTCACAAAGACTAAATGCTGCAGGATTCCACAGGAAATAGCCAGACTAGGCAAGCAAACAGAAAGGAGATGAACTGTGTCTGTGGTTGGGGTGTTGGGAAGAAATGGGGAGTGATTGGTAATGTGTTCATGGGGTTTCTTCTTGTGCTCTTTATTATGTTTTCAACTGAACATGTTGACAGTTGTACAGCTTTGCAATGATTAAGCTAAAAATCACTGAACTGTATATTTAAGTGGGTAAATTATATGTTATGTGAATTACATCTGGATAAATAAAGATGTTAGAAAACTAAGCCCTGCTACACATTGTATGAGGTTGATTTAAGTATGTAGCTTCTACCACTGCTAACAATACTTAGTGTCATTACATTGAGAGATTTTTATATTTTTGCTCCTTTAATTCTTAGAACACTGCTATTGGTTGAGCAGAACTACTGATCCTTATTTCAGAGATAAAGAAATTGGAGCGGAGAGATTGAGTAATTTTACAAAAGCAGCCCAGGAGTAAGTTGGGACCAGGATTTGAAGTTCAGGCCCATGATAATTTGGTGCTAAAATTTACTCTCCCTTCTTTATGGTTTGTCTAAAAAATTCATTAATTAGCTAATATACTCACACACTTCAAAATACAAATTGACATAAAAAGTATACACCCAAGGACCTGTATTTTGAAACTGACTCCAAAGATAGGTAGGAAACTAACAGGAGAAGTTCAATTTGGAAATAAATCCCTTTCATAGAGAAAGGCATACTTTGAAGATGATAGCCTTCTTTCAACTGTGTAAGTTAGTGAGAATATTTGTTAAATAACAAAGCAATGGTCTGAATGTCACATCTACTTGCAAATCATCTGGTGAAATCCTCATCTCCAAAATGGTGGTATGAGAAGGTGGCCTTTAGTACAAAACTAGGTCATGAAGGCTGAGTCCTCAGGAATGGAATTAGTGGCCTTATGAAAGAGATTCTGGAGAGATCCCTCTCTCCTTCTACCAGATGAGGGTATGATGAAATGAATATTCAGTAAGAATGCCCATGAAAAAATGGTTTCTTACCAGACACTGAATCTGCAGGTGCCTTGGTTTGGGACTTCTTAGGCTCCAGAAATGTGAAAAACAAATTTTTGCTGTTCATAAACTATTCAGTTTGAGGTATTTTGTTATAACAGCACAAATGCTCTAGATAATCAATAAAAAAATTATACTTATACCAAAGGGACTTATACCAAAGCGACAACCCTCCATGGGCCATGGAAAGATGTTAAATTTCTATTTACTGGAAATGTGAATCACACTCTTCAAAGGGGAAGCCCAGAGCTTTTTCAAAAGTTACATAACATTCTGAAATCTCCTTTTGTACTTGCTCAGAACACTGTTTATGCTAATATTCGAGGAGATGAAGAATCACATATTCACTACTAACTCACAAATGGTGAATTTCCTTATGCTATCTATGTTAAGCTAATTGGTTCACCTGAGTAGGATCGAATTCCAATTCTTATGACAGCAAACCTAGACTCAAAATATTTTAGGACTACCCCAGTTGTCTTTAGAAAATCTATTATTTGTCATAAAAACAACTAGTCAATTTTGTTTCCTTTATAAAAAATACCCGTAAGTTCAATAAGTTACAGAATTTCTGAAGGATCTGTGACAAAAATGAATATGAATGTTAATATATAAAGGACAAAAACTAAAAGTTAAAATGAGTGCAGACAAAATATCCAAGAGCTACAGAACAGTGATGTCTTCTAATGGGGATGAGATGAAAGATTTCAAAACACACAGCTTTTCAAAGCTAAAGAAAGTGACAACAACTGAAATGAAAAGGCTGAACTTAGCATTACCTTCCCAGAACACAAACTTATATTTATCTTAATAGACTTAGGTACTATCTCAGGAAAAATCTTATATATTATGCATCTAGGGCAATGAAAGCTGTAGAGGATGATTTTGTAGAGCAAACACACTGTAGGCTGACAATAGCAGAAGCAAAGAGTCAAAGGCACAGGCAATGAGTTCAGGTCTCATTCTGTGTATCGTCACAGTAGGAAAACAAAAGAGCTGAAGGCACATCATAGACTAAACAGAACCCAGCAGAACTACAGTTGTGGTTGAAGCTTTAAAAATGTGCATATGTGTATTTTCTGATTTTAATCATAACATGGATTGGAACATAGAGAAAAACATAAGGAAAATACTTAAAATCACCCCACATCTCACCACCCAGATAGAACTATTATCAAAATACTGGCAAATTTACTTTTAGCCCTCTTTCTGTGTATACATATGAATATACATTTTTCAAAAAATTAGGATTAAGCCATAAATAAAATTTTATACATTGTTTCCCCCCTACTTGTATTCCCTCTTGTGTAATTTCCTATGTTATAATATGTTCTTTGAAGATTTAATTTTAGTAACTACATTATGTTGTATCTTATGAATTTAAGCAAAATTTGATTCTTTCCATCTTACCAAACTCTAGATTATTTTTAATTTTTGCATTTTACAAATACACCGAGATGGACTTTCATATATCTACTTATACCTTAAATGAATATTAAAAGTATATCAGTATGTCACATGGAAATTTAAATCACTCAGTGTACTAGTACCTGCAAATTCACCATAGGAAGTCTCCAAGGATAATATTCAAGTAATGCATATCAAATAAACAACACTATTTTCATATCACTCACAGTCTATATTTATCCATCTGGAGCAATCATCTTACAGATAGTACAATATTTCCTCTAGCTAAATGGACTATTACTGGGTTAATCTAAATGCAATAACACGAAACTTGGCTGACCCAGATTTCTCCAATATCAGTATGCATGCAATTACAATATTTTGCAGATTGGAAAATACCCAAGGCTCTCAAAAACACATATTTTATCATCCTTTCATTTAAAATGATACACAGTACATTAAAAGAAAAAAATGACAATGGAGGTTGACAGCAACTAAATCTTAGGTAGATACTCATATTCAAGTATAACTTAAGGTTTTCTTCACATTCTAGCTTTACTCTGTCACTGCCACAGTTATAAAAATTGTAACTGTTCTCATCATATTGAAGTTAATGATTCCTATAAATGATTATGTATCCTTAATAGTCCAGTTTTAAGTTCTCTATATTTAATTTTTAAAAATTATTTAATTTTGAATAGGGTGAATATAGTTCTTATAATCTCTAAAGTATATTTTTATCAATACATTTATGTATAGATACACACATTTAAAATATTTTTCTTCCATTAGCCAGTGAAAAGCAAAGTCAAACAAAACATATAACACAAAAAAACCCACTTACATCACTGGTCATTTTACTATGGAATCATTCAAATTCCAAGGTGCCCCTCAGAAATGGTAGCTGGATGAAGATAACTAGAGCTGCACTGTACAGCTGTGTAGACTGCACACTACAGAATCTAGGGAGTGGAACTGTCCCCTGAACTATGAGACTGGTACTCTCTGGGGTTAAACAGTGCACAGTTTATACAGCTGGATGTGATGCCTTTTAAGCTAGCTCAGGCAATGCTGTTTGCTCATCCATCGCTTATTGTACATCCTATTCTCCAGTGAGCTATGAAAAAGAAGAAGTGGGGGAGGCACGTGATCTTCATATAGTTTCCTTTTTTTAATGAAAGAAATTCTGCAAAGAAATAATAACAACTCTGGCTCCTCTCCATCATGGTGTCAAGGTTTTCTTTTTCCCTTCACCCTCCCTTCCACCCACCAGGAAGCAACAGGTACCTTGTGTGAGTAACTGCAGGTTTCTGACTTCTTCTCGCACCTTCAGCTGGAGCACCTGCTGTAAGATGTGTTGCCGGAGGTTCTCCTGGCCAATCCCCATTCGCTCAAGCTTTTTGTCAGTGAGTCTCAGCAAGGCTCTCCCTGTAGGTTAAAGAAAAACAATCTGTTTAGGAAGGAATTCTTTCTTCTTCTTAGGTAACTCTGTCATATCAGACGTTTCTGTCTAAACATGGATTCGAGAATAGAGGGTCCTCCATTATCCTTGCTGATGGGAATGGATAATCTAGAGGAAGAAAATCTACATCTGTAAAAGAAAATCCCAATTTTAATTAAATACAGATTCTCAATTGACCCATACATTGGGTACATAAAGTGCAAAATTTTAACCTGAATAATCAGGTTAAGGAATGCAGGTTTCGAAGGTGACAATACTGCTCACTGGGGATGGGTTTGCGGGAGCCCGAGTCTCCGCAGTGTGTCTGGAGAAGCAAATGCTCCATAGGTATACAGCACTCCCTGTGACTTAAGCCAAGATACAATAATACTTCAGTGGAGCATGCACTGGAAGCCCAGTTTTATTTTGCAGGCATCGCTGGAACCCTGGTGTCGGGTGAGAGTTTCGCTTATGGCTGGTGGGAGCTATGACTTGATCTCAATCAGTGGCAAAGGGAAAAGGTTCTGGCAGGGCTGCGGGTGAGAGGAATGAGATGAGCCAGGGCATCTCAAGAGAGAAACACAAGGTGCCTTGGAGTGTGAGTGTCTACGTTGTTCAGACACCCTGGGCTCTGATTAGCACAGCGTGGCCTCCTTTTAATCCTTAGCTTTCCCTAGAGGTCTAAATGTTTCCTACTGTGATTTCTATCAAGTTCTCAAATTTTGCTATTGTGATTTCTATCAAGTTCTCAAATTTTCCACCACTCTGTGCTTGTCTTGAAATTAAACATATTTCTACTTTGAGGGCTTCACAATAAATAAAGGGGATGACCATTAAATGCCCATAGTATCACCTTCTATTTTCTCCTGACATCGCTCCTTATGACATCTGAAGACCTTTGGTAAGTCTATAGGTACATTATCATTTACTCTTCAGAAACTAAATGCTCTGCATCATAGAAAAAGAAATTCAACAACCAGAAGGTGGGGTTGATGGAGATTTTCATCAAAGGAATAGAAAGCCTCGGAGGCCAGTGAATAAAGAGATAAGTGAATGGAGAGAGCCAATTAGGACCATATCTATGTGGTTTACTCTTCTTATTTCCTCCTCTTCTTTGCTTGTTAAGTTTATCAGTCAGATAAGTTAGGTTACATACTTCAGTGACACCCCCAAAATATCAGTGGCTCATTTGCTTCCAAAGTATTTTGCATGTTGACAGCAAATCTCCCCCATCATGAACATTGCTGGAAGCAAACGTGAACATGAGGAAGTGCTAGAAGATCTCATATCATCAAGGAAATGCTCAGCCTGAGTCATTTATGAATTAATGACAGGATCTAATCATATGTTCTTTCCCACCCACAAAAGGACAATGAACATAGTTCCAATATGTGCCCAGAAGTGGCAGAGAGAGTTAGAAATATTTGAAGGGAAGCAGTGAGAAGAACTGTACTAATAGAGATTGTGGTCCTGGATCAGTGTCTGCTAAAAATGGGAGTTCAGTAATGGGTGAATGTTTGTGGCAGTGGTGGGCAATGGGCTGAAGCTTCAATAGAATGTATATGTGTGGGGAGCAACTGGGAGTAACTCGGACTAGACTAAGTTACTAGAATTAAGACTTATTCTATGCATCTGCTCTCCCACAATATGGCGCTGGGAGAGGAGGAAACAGCTTCTACACAGCTGCCTCCAGTTCAACCAATAAACAGCAGGACCTGCTCCTGATTGGAGGAGAGCAGCGTACTCGGCATGTGGGTAGCAGAGTTGGGATTGGTGGAAGAGGACTATAAAGGAGAAGAGAGACAACATGCACCGGGAACACCTGAGGAACATCTGAGCAGCCCCCGAGAGAGCCGGCCTGCGGTGTGCTGCTCCCCTGCGGAAGTGGGGAAAGTGGCCAGGGGGAACCGCCCTTCCACGGAGGTGGAAGGGATGGTAGCCAACCCGGGAAGAACCAGCAGCAAACCCGGGGAGGGCCGAGCAGACAAAAGAACAGCACAGGGTCCTGTGTCATTCCTCCACGAAGACGGGGAGCGACATAATGGTGCCGTGACTCGGATATGAAGCCTAGGCAGGGTTTAGTGTCGTTCCTCCATGAAGAGGGGGAGCGACATAATGGTGCCGTGACTCAGATATGAAGCCTAGGCAGGGTTTAGTGTCGTTCCTCCACGAAGAGGGGGAGCGACATATATGGAAGAGGAATCCTAGGTAGCTACTGTTCAGACTTGGCAAAACCAGGAAGACCATAGTGGTTAGGAGAAAGAAAAATATAAAAGCAGACTCAGGTAGTTCCTTTGCCTTCTGAGGTAGGTGGAATAATGGCCCAGTGAAGATGTTCATGTTCTCATCTCTAAAACTTGTGAACTGGAGCTGGCATTGTAGCATGGTGTGGTGAGTAAGGCCACCACCTGTGTCGCCAGCATCCCATGTGGGCGTTGGTTCATGTTCTGGCTGCACCACTTCCAATCCAGCTCCCAGCTAATGGCCTGGGAAAAGCAGCAGGGGATGGCCTAAGTGCCTGGGCCCCTGCTCCTGGCTCTTGGCTCCTTGCTTTGGCCTGGACCATTGCTGGCTGTTGAGGACATCTGGGGAGTTAACCAGCAGATAGAAGATCGATCAATCAATCTCTCTCTCTGTAGCCCTTTCAAATAATTAAATAAATCCTTAAAAGAAATAAACCCTACATACCTCCTGATTGGCAAAAGTTAAAAAGACTGACAAGGCTAAGATATCTCAATTAAAGAAAAAAAAACCTATAAATTTGCAAACTTACATGACAAAAAGAACTTTGCAAAGGTGATTAAGGCAGGGATCTTAAGATGGGAGAGTACCCTATACCATCCAAGTCAGTCCAAAATCTAACTACCTTAATCCTTATCAGTGGAAGAGGGAGATAGGATAGCCTGAGGGAGAATGAGAACCAGAAGACGTTAACAACGGAAGTAGAAATTAGAGCAATGTGGCCAAGAGCCAAGGAGTTCACATGGTCTGAAGAAGCTGGAAAAGAGGGTAAAGAATTCTCCTCAAGCCCTACAGGAATGCAGCTCTACCAACACCTTGATTTTTGCCCCATAGCACACATTTTAGACTTTTGACTGTCATGACTGTCACAAGTGTAAAATAATAAATTTATGTTGTTCTAACCCACTAAGTCTGTGATAATTTGTTGCAGCAGCAATTGGATTTGTAAATGGAAATATCATGTTTTCAGGAGGCCAACAGATGGCCTTAGATTTCCATTTCTTTCCCCGTTTTTGGGTAGTGGCTTACTGAAAAGTAGAGAGCAGAGAGCTCACAACAGTGAGACTGACTTTCAGGCCTCCCAGCCAGTGCTGCCTTCCACTGTTTTGTTCTTCATCAGATCTCAGTCTAAGCTGCATTGAGAAAACAAAGAATTGGACTTGGGTATCACGTGGATAATCAGTTTCCCAACAGCAGACATCTAGATTTTTAAACACGTCATAAACTTTGAAATTTGCATAAAACCCTCCCTGAAGTACAGATGATCTAAATCCTTGCCAACACTAAAATGTCGATCACTCTCCTTCTTTCTGTTCCCAATTATTTGTGCTCTGGTTTCACAAGCTGTGGCATTCCATAGTGAGAGTTACTGAGGCATTGGAAAAACACATGGTAGCTTTAGCTTTGAGAAGTTGCCTGGTCTGGAGAGGACATATTGTTTACAACTTGGAGTGCTGGTTTTATTCCAGTGCACAATGCTCAACTTTGTTTGATGCCTCCATGAAAACCTCTGATCTCAGCCTTTTTCCATAAATGCATCTGGTTGGTCAAAGTAGAACACCTAAGCCCTACCAGAATTTATTTCTGTTCAGGTAGGTTGATTCTATCAGATTTGCATACACAAATTATAAGATTCTATCAGTTATAGTCTATACATTCTGATTTTATGTTACAAACATTGTGCCTAGGAACATTTTACATGCCCAGTATGTTCAAGTGGTTTAATCCTAATCATGTGAATATGGGTGCTGTTGATGCTACCATTATTTCCATTTCTTAAAAAGGGGGAATTGAGAAATTAAAGATTATTTAGAACATAATGCTTTCCTAGTTTTTCCCATAATGCCTGATTTCAGTTGTGCTTTATTTTCCTTGGTAGGAAAATAAAAGGTTTAGACTTTAGGAAGCCAGATGAATGGTAAAGTTCACAGAAGAATTTCCTGATAAAACTTCTAGAAGAGATCATGATCTGTATACTGAGGACTTTATGAACAAATCTAATTCACTATCTTGCTTGCATAGTTTCTACAGTGTTTCCTGCATCTGTGACCTTGGAAAATTTTTATAGTAATTAGATGATTTCCAGGAGCAAATGTCACATCCAACTCCTATCCCACCACTTCTTGCTGACCACAGAAATAAATGAATGTCTAACAAAATGTAGTGTTCCTTTTGGTGCAGGTATCAGGGAAGTGATAAGTCATCAATCATTAATCTTTTTTTGTAGTTTAACTTTTGTTACTTACCATAAAAATTCCATTGTTAATAAATGCTCAATATTTGCTTGTTGAACTATGTCCCTGTCACTTGGTTACCCTCCCTGAGTACTGTGCACAGTACGGCAGATAGGGTCACTCTTGGAACTTTTGGATTGAGAAGGTAAAGAGAAATGTGAAGACGTGTGTGATGAACGCAGAGGAGACTCATATACTGGAACTCAGAACTGGGTGACCTAACCTAGTCTGGGCATCAGGAAACTTTTATTCGGTAAAGACATTTAAGCTGAAACTTAAGGAGTAAGACAAAATTATTATGTACTATAGAGGGAACTGGAGGAGAGGAACTGGTAGTAATCAATCATGGAGGAAGGGTGGAGAAGTGGGGTGCTGATGGCTTGATTTAATGAGTTGACACTGCATTCATGCATTGAAATATTGGACTATGGCCTACAAATAAATTAAATATTGGACTATAGCACTAAATAAATTAAAAGGTCAAAAATTTTAAAAAAACAAATTTTTTAGAA